GGGGGGGGGGGGGGGGGGGGGGGAACGGGGCAAAATCTCAGCAGGCAGAAAGCTGAGTGTGAAAGAAGGGAACCAGAGATCCTTCCTCTCTTCTTCACAGCCAGAGCTAGTGTACTTCTTAATTCAGAAAGGAAGTCTGCAACAGTACTGATCACCAGTTACCACTCACAATAATGTGATAGCCTTTGTGTGAGAAGATCACGGTAGTAACTCACCATCACTAAAGCACATGTTTTAAATTGCTTTTCCAGCAGCGGGTAAAGGGACATTTGCTGAGTCATGACACTCTCTTGCCCAGGCCTTGTGATCCTCTACATGCTTTCATGGGCTGTCTGACCAGGGTCTTGAACGTGGTCTGGAGCTGTGAAAAAAGGTTTCCTTTGTGTGGAACCAGCTCACCTAACAGGCCTCTCCAACCCACAACCCTGGCCTCGTTAACACCGTGTTGTAACCAACAGAGTTAATCGGCCACAGGCATCATCATAATAGCTGTAGACAAATGAATCCATGTCAAACATTTCCTCAGATGTTTAATGCTGCTGCTGTGTCCTCTACTCTGGGGTTTGTATTTCAGCAGATTAAAATAATATGATACTATTACAGTTTTATAGAGCCCAGAGCCACAACATAGGCTGTGGGCCGTAACTTCTGTCTGGCCTGTGGGCCTGAACACACCCCACCAAGCGCACAACCAGGTTCCTTTGCTTGGCACCAAGCACCTGCCTGTTCAAGTCACACCAGGACCACAATCACCAATCCATCTCAATGGAATTAAAGAGATTTCTGAAGGGCTCCAAGCGCAAGTAACTACACTCAACACCAGTGATGGGCAAGGTGGAGGGGAGGGGGGTGGATGGGGGCATCCATTCAGTTGGCACCTCTGCTGGATGGAAGCTGCATTCCCCCTCCCTGTATGAGTCAACACAGCTCTCTATTCCGCGCAAAGGAAGGTCAAATCACTTTCCCAAGGGGTTCTTTTCAAGCCCCCATCTGCAGCAATAATAACAACACTGGATCAGTTTTAGGGTCAAAGGCTGTTAAGATTTCAGTCCTCTTCCTGTTAGCTGAAGCCACTTACCAGACTCCTCTCCAGAGACACTTAATTTGGTAACACTGGGTCACCGAACGCTGAACTACGCTGCTCTGAAAGCATCAGAGGTGTCCCGAATCTCAGATGCCTTTGGAGCCTTCAGTGAGAGCTGTTCCTCAGGCGGGGCCTCTCTGCCCTTGACTTACTCCAGGCAGCTGGATGCAATCAAGATACCATCCTTGTCACTTCATCTATAACTCTGCAGCTGACTGCAGGATCAAAACGGAGTGGAACAGAAGGGGATGGGCCTTCTCTAGCCGAGCCCCGGTGTAGTACGAAGTCGATTATGTATATAGTAAAGCATTTTCCCAGCCAGAAGAGCAAGAACTCGACTTCGACCCCTCCCCTTCCCTCCTCGCTACCCATCTCCCACTCTAATTCAACTTTTTTCTTTTTACTTCAGGGAAATGCTCCGGGGTCAGCCTTTGGTCATTACTAACAGATGCCTTTATATACTGTAGTGCAGGAATTTGAAACTTCACATTATATCCCTATAGTTCTAGTAATAGGGCTCCCAGAGCTATGTTCAAGTCACAAAGCCATCATTCAATTGTTTGCCTATACTACTGAAGTCCTCCATGTATAGTGTCATCGATTTTTAATTGCACGCATCTTTTAAGACAGAGGCCTACGTCTGTTATAACAAACTCCAGGCCTCGGTTAGGGGCTTAGCAATAATTTGAATAGTCCTTACATTTGGGGCCTATTCTACATCACTATTCAAACAGAAATTGTAATAACCTAATACCATCCTAACTATTCCCTTCCATTCTAATTTTTATAATCTTGGTCCCAACCAGCTCTTACCTGGATTATGGAAATATCCTCCTCTCTGGACTCCCAGCTGTGCTCACTTCTCTATTTTTAGTTTTCTATCAACCCTTTTCTTTTTTCTTTTTTAAGCTTCCTGAGGTCTTTTGTGGCTTCCCATTACTAGAGGATGAAACTAAGATCTTCTATCTTTTTTTAAAAGGCACAGCAGCCAGCCTTGATTACTCCTTATAGAAAGTGCACTGGGGACAAGGTTAACGTATATCCAGGCCTAGCTCTGCCACTGATGAGTTGTGCCCCAGACCTACTCAAGTTGCCCTGCTTCCATTCTGCCCTCTGCAAAATGAGGGGTTGGATTAAATGACCTCTAATGAACTTTTAGGCCTAAATTCTTATATCTTCTTCCTCACTGACCTATTTCCAAGGAAACTAATTCAGCAACTGTGATCAGTTGCTGGCCTGCATTATTTCACTTTGTTTAAGATGCCACACCCATACGGGTACCCAATAAATGTTCCTGAAAAGAGGATAATGCACTATATTCTAAGCCAGCTTAGAGAGTGCATATTAAACTCAGGGTGTGTGCTAACCACAGTCAGATTCAGGAAACAGACTGGGGGTGGGGTGGGGGAGGGAGAAGGTGAAACAACAGGTGG